AGATCCCTGCACTATCCGATGTTAAATTGATTGAAGCGAAAAGTCGATGCCAATAATAGTTTGACAGATCGTCAACAAAAAATCAATTTCGTCTTCCTGCACGGAAAAAAAATCAAGCGATTATAGTAGAGACAGTAACTATACTAGTTTCGCGCGTGTTACCCAATTTACAGGGTCCTATACCAAAAGAGTATAGATCTCTGCAAATATCGTAGAAAGCGCACGCACGAAAGTCGTATAGTTACTGTCCCTACTATATTCGTTTGATTTTTTCTCCGTGTGGTGTTCTTGAATATTTGGGACTCATCCAAATATATACACCAGGAAGCTCTTCCTTTGATGACTTCCAATTTTAATCATGAATAGTAATGTCCTCAATGTCTTTGTGACCCGGAGAAAATCCTTAGCGCCTCGCTAGAGTTTTCATAACAGAACGAAGGAAAAATCAGAATCGAATTTATTTATTATAGGTTGACTATTAATCGGACGACTTTGGCATGTTGGTTTGTTAATACGTGAATTTGATTATTTAAAGAAAATGAAGTGAGTATCATAAGAAAACGATTTTTATAATTCATAACATTGTACAGTCATTATGGCTGGATTCCCACCCTGGTGTCGTTTTTTTACAAAATTTTTTTTAATTTATTATTTTTAAGTCATTTGTACGCGACAAAATGCCACGTTACAATATGTTGTGTCAGTTTACATATAATTCTTACGAGATGCATTTTTATGTTATTATGTAATTTTTATAATTTTAATGTACATGGAAAAAAAGGAATAATTGGGACAACCATATATATTGATGAATATGAGTTGGCCCATCCAATATGAATGTCCCAACCATATCATTTTTTTCTGTTTATATATATCAGAGTATGTATAGGTAAAAGGAACGATTTTTACGGTAATTTTTCTGTTTTAATGCAGTAAACTTTAATTTTATTAAAATAATTATAAAAAAATGTTACAATCTAATGACTATAACTCTTAAACCAGTTGGTTGTTTCCATTGCTATACCGCACATGCTGTGTACATATTTGACCTAGAAATTCTACTTACACTTCATAAACAACCCCCTATTCTCTAAGAGAGCTGGAGTAGATTTCTCCATGGAAACTGCGAGAGCATTATTGTTAGAAGAGTGTGGCTGAAATTGCAATGACTTTTCAAGTATATGGAAGGAAAGTCGTAGTCCCTGAGACGAGAAACTAAACTTTACAGAAAGTTTATTTTCCCCGAGTTTTACACATGAACTCAACAGGATTTTCCAACATTTCTTATAAATACATGTTTTTCTTTTATTTATCTACTATGCTCGAAAATAAAAGAAAAATTTATTGCCGTAAAAATTCACAAAAAGAATGGATGTAATTGAATAATATTCCACTTTGTCGTATATATAAAAATCTTTTGGAATAAATAAATATTTTTTGAATTCAATCAAAGGAATTTTCGCCTATGATCCATTTACGCAGGATAAAGATAACAAAAAAGGGATTTTAAAAAATAATAATATCAAACGAAATATACACGTATTCGAAATATGAATATTAAATGCTTTGGAACATTTTTGCAATGGCACGTTTTTTTTTTTAATAATTCCATGCGCTCTATAGAGTAGCTTGAAACTGAAATGTTTTACATGCAAGAGACATTAAATGGATATAGAGCAGTTATTTACTTTGTCCTTTTTTCCGTAAATAATAAAGTAATTCATTGGAAAATCATTTATATAAAAATTTGAAAAATTTTTATATTCAACGAATACATACCCGCAAATAGCACAACATCTGGCCACAATAATGAGTCAATATTGCTAACATTAAATTGTTGCAATAGTGATTATGTCCACTCTGAAGAAATATTATTTAGCCATATGTTAAAGCAATATTTTTTGGCAATATATATATATATATATTAGGGTGGTCCTTAAAAAACAAATTTTCGAATTTTAAAGTTCGTAACCCCTCATTTTGTTAAGCATGGAAAAATAAGAAACACGTATTTTTTTTTTTTTTTTTAATTAATATTTAATGGTGCCTCATCGCACTTGAATTTTTACATGCATTTTGCATGGGGAAAAAACGTTTTTTCGTAGATTTGCTATGAAATGATGAAAAATGAATATTTTTTTCTCGGACCACTTTGTTTTTCTTCATTTATGTTCAAAGAATAAGATCCAATAATTTATTTATGAATTTTTAATAACAAATATTTTTTAAACAGCCCCTAAAAACCCTCAAAAAATGCAAAATCAGGGAAAAATCGTTAAAAAATGTTTATTAATATTTTTTATAGTCTTTTTTGCAAGATTTTTTATTTACAAATTGAACAAATACTATTAATCGTATTTTTCAATAATTTGCAATTTGTTTAAACAATATATTGTTGTTACTGTAAAATTGTTGTTAAAAATATCTGAAAATGATGTTTTTTTTAATTTTATAACTTTTATTGACATGAACTGCAATAAATAACAGTTTATTTAAAAAAATGTCAACAAAAATTGTTTAAACAAATTATTTTTGTTATTTTAAAACTAGTGTTTAAATGTATCTACAAAGTTGCTCTTCCCCCTTAATTTTGCAAGTAGTTCTGCTGTTTACAATTGCAATAGTATCTTAAATTTCAAACTTCATTTTCGACAATTGTTTAAACAATTTAATTTTTTAATCAATTAAATACTTTTATATTTTCTAAAATACATACAGTGCGAATTATTAACTGCGGTCCAGCCTAATTCTGACAGTATAGTTTTATTTATAATGTTGCAAGTCGATGTGCTACGACAAGTTTAGACGGGTTTGTTCAGGTAGCACATCGACTTGCAACATTATAAATAAAACTATACTGTCAGAATTAGGCTGGGCCGCAGTTAATAATTCGCACTGTATGTATTTTAGAAAATATAAAAGTATTTAATTGATTAAAAAATTAAATTGTTTAAACAATTGTCGAAAATGAAGTTTGAAATTTAAGATACTATTGCAATTGTAAACAGCAGAACTACTTGCAAAATTAAGGGGGAAGAGCAACTTTGTAGATACATTTAAACACTAGTTTTAAAATAACAAAAATAATTTGTTTAAACAATTTTTGTTGACATTTTTTTAAATAAACTGTTATTTATTGCAGTTCATGTCAATAAAAGTTATAAAATTAAAAAAAACATCATTTTCCAGATATTTTTAACAACAATTTTACAGTAACAACAATATATTGTTTAAACAAATTGCAAATTATTGAAAAATACGATTAATAGTATTTGTTCAATTTGTAAATAAAAAATCTTGCAAAAAAGACTATAAAAAATATTAATAAACATTTTTTAACGATTTTTCCCTGATTTTGCATTTTTTGAGGGTTTTTAGGGGCTGTTTAAAAAATATTTGTTATTAAAAATTCATAAATAAATTATTGGATCTTATTCTTTGAACATAAATGAAGAAAAACAAAGTGGTCCGAGAAAAAAATATTCATTTTTCATCATTTCATAGCAAATCTACGAAAAAACGTTTTTTCCCCATGCAAAATGCATGTAAAAATTCAAGTGCGATGAGGCACCATTAAATATTAATTTAAAAAAAAAAAAAAAAATACGTGTCTCTTATTTTTCCATGCTTAACAAAATGAGGGGTTACGAACTTTAAAATTCGAAAATTTGTTTTTTAAGGACCACCCTAATATATATATATATATATATATATATATATATAAATTTGTAGAATTATATATTAAGAATTTTAAATCTTTATTAATTTGCCCAAAGATGTTGAGTAGATATCCGTAACAACAGATAGGGAAAAAAAGTTTTTAACGACTTAAAAGACGTTAATAATTACACAGGTTTATAAGATTTTAGACGAAAACCTGTTTCTAAGGTAAATTTTAACGCTGAATTCGAATTAGCAGTCCGTTATTTTACTACACGTCAGGTTTTTGAGATAATTGCAATTTTTATTTGTTGCTACTTTAAACAATTGTTACTAAAAATCGAAATATATGACTTAGAAAAAAAATCATAATTTACTTAAAGGTTTTTGGGGTTGCTGATTACGAATTTGATGTCAGATTTTAAAAATTCAAAATGTCGGATCCAATATGGCAAACGAAAATATTAAACATCAAACGGATTTTCTTAAAACTTTATTACTTGGGGGATTTTGGAGTTGATGATTACGAATTTCAAGTCAGATTTCAAAAATTCAAAATGTCGGATCCAATAAGGCGGAGAAAAATATTAAAAATCAAACGTATTTGCTTGAAAAACTTATTATTTCGAATTTGTAAAATTTGACTTCATATTTGTAATCAAAGACTCCAAAAAACTCCTGATAACAAGTTATACAAGCTAATCAATTATATAATTTCTTTTTGGTAATTGTTATTTAATTTGTGAAGAAAGGTTAAATAATTTTAATGATTAATTTTTTTATCTCTTTTATTTTATTTATGTCAAAAATATTGTTATAGTTACTTTTTAAAATTTTCAATCGCAGTGGAAAATATTTTTTTTTTGAAACAAAAACAAAATATTATAAAATTTCTAATAATAAAAATTTATAAAAACAAATAAACACATTAATTAGTTTATCAAAATCTGGAATAATTAAATTTTTCTACACGGATAACAATAATATTACGAATCAAAAGTACATAAATACCAACGGTATATATAATATTACCGACGGCCAATATAGTTATTATCAACTGTAAATAATATTACCGACTGTAAATAATTATTACCGACTGTAAATAAAAATACCAACTATCAATAACAGTACAATTGTCGATAAGTATAAATTTTAAATACCATTAGTGAATAATGAAGAAATACATATATTTTTTCAAAACGAGAAAAGAGTTGAGCAGTTTATCCCAAAATGTGACATGCGCTCAATGAAGAAGAACGGTATCGAGCCAGACAGCTGGCTCTTTCACATATATGTAATATATATATATATGTGTATTCCATATATACTATAAGGTCTTGTTCCTGTTTTTCACTGACAGTCGAGTCTGAAACGAACGACGGGAAACTTGTTAAAGTACGGTAATAAGTGAAAGTTTGCGTGACTAAACTGATCCTTTCACAGTATACATCAGAGCGCAACGGGCTTTGAGGCAAAGTAGAAAAAGGATGCGATAACCAGACGTTCAGTTGTTCGGCCGGTGATCCCGTAAGGCCGGTAAGAAAAATTTACAGGATCTCTCTCTCTCTCTCTCTCTCTCTCTTTTTTTTTTCTCGTAAAAATTTTACGCGCGCTTGATGCAAAAATCAAACATTAGGAACTCAATTTTCCCAATGCTGGACCAAAAAAAAAACATTTTTTGTAAATTAGTTTTAAATTTACAAAAATTCTTTTATATATTTTTTTTCATTCATCTCATACATCCAAAATCATTCATCAGTGACGGAAGTTACGATAAAATCGTTGACAGAATAATTAAAAAGCTCCGTAAGTGACTCAAATCAAAATAAAAAAAGAAAAAAGTCTCTTGTCAGGTGTTCATCTATAATAAACATACAGACAAGATCGATTAATGTCGATAGAAAAAAAATTTACTACAAAACACGATAATGAGATACTAAGTTTATAATTTTACTTACTTACTTACACATTTTTATAATGGCTCTCACAATTAAATGTAAATGTGGGAAAAAGTAGGTATATCTATTGATAGATATTACTTTTTATTTATTTTTTTTTTTTAAATAATGCAATATATATGTTACACAAATGAAAGATAAACTGATAAGAGCAAAATTAGAGTTTAATTAATAATGACATATATCAATAAACTGCGATAAATCGAGTAATAGGAATTCTTTTTTTTTTTTTTTTTTTAATATTTCTCCTCAGTTATCGTTTATATGAAGGGTGTGCGCGAGGGAAAACCGCACAATTAGCGCTCACTTATCTCTCTAAATGAATATTTACTATTTTAATTTGTTTTCCATATAAATTTGTTCATCTGTTACAATTTTTTTTATCGTTATCAATTAACACTGTTATTTTTTAACAAAATGATTATTATATTTTATATTATATAATAAAAATAGCAACAACAATAATAATAGTAATAATAATAATAATAATAAATTAATTTAATTGCAACAATGATTTTCGATTAAAATTTATGAAATTTTTCATCTACAACATTTTTTAAGCCACTGTTTGTTATTTCATTTTTTCCAATGTTTGCAAATACTCTTTTTTTTCACTTAAACATGTTTTATATTGCAATAATTTATTTGTCGTCATAACTCATTGTGATAGACGGAATGCAAAAAACTATTGTCATTTTTTATGCTTTGACCACATGAGGCGAATGGAATATGTTTAAAAAAAAACACCTGTCTTATAAAGCATGACCTGTGAAGAAAACAAAATTGATAACATATTAATAATTATTCCATATATTATATAATAAAATAAATAAATAAAATTAAAAAAAAAATTTACAAAATAAAAATTTACAAAATAAAATGAGATTTTTGTACATTGTTATTTAATCAGAAAATGTTATTAACTAAATCAGAAATAAGGGTAATATAAAAAAATGTATTCTTTCTATTTATTCAAGAATTCGTCCGTTAAAAGTGCATTTATGACTACAAATCACATATATATATATATACAGAAATCATATTTGTACATTTGACAAAAGCTTTATAAAAGGGTCCTGGATAAAAACATTCTTGAAACTAGATACACAAACCTTTTATGTTACACAATATTTTTCCTCCCTTTTACTATTAACCTTTTTATTCTTTTCCCTTTTGTTTTAATTTTGTAAATAAATTTCAAAATTTTTATAACTGTACTATTTTTTTTTTGTTACTAAAATATAAAAGAAAACACATATAATTGATTTTTTTTAAAAGAAAAATAATAAAAAAAAAAAATTTTTTTCAATAAAAAAAGAATTAATTTCATTTATAAAATTGATTAAAATGAAAAAGTAAATAATTTTCAAGAAAAATAAAAGGATAAATAAATGAATAAAAAAAAACTATATAAAACAAATGAAAAATGTATAGAATGTTTTAAAACTTTTACAATTTAAACAGATATCTATCTAGTTGCCAAAAATTGGCAAAGTTACAAAAAATAAAGTTATAAAATGTGCATACAGCACAAGGGAGATAAAATTCTTTAGAATGCATTATTAAAATTATTTCACGGGTGTTAAATTTTTCTATTTTAAGCTGAAATTTTAATGCGCACGTGTTTTTTTTTTTAAGTGTAGAGTATAGAAAGAATATGTAAAACCTGATTAGTATTGATTTTAATATAAGTTATTAATGAAAAATTCAAAATAAACGAAAAAAAAAATGTCTTCCTTTATTTTCGTTTCGGAAATGTATTTCGAAATTTAAAAAAGGTATATTCACAATTTTAACTTTATTTAAAAATTATTTTAATTATATAATTTCAATTTTAATTCGATTTTTATTTTCAAATTTCCAATTGAATAATAATTACGACCAAATAATATATATATATGATTCAGTATAATGATGCTGTATAAATTATTTGTTTTGCAATTTAATTGGATCATAATATTATTATTGAACTACTTATAAATCTATGTGTGCTCTAAAATATCTTTTTTTAAATTAAGTTCATTTTTTAATTCCAAAAAAAATGTCCTAATATCATAATTTAGTGGTAAAAATTAATTTAAAAAAAAAAAGAAAAAAAATTTTACCTTATATTTTCCAAAGAAGTAAGAAAAAATAAAAATTTTTTAAATAAAGCCAACTTATCCGAAAGTGTTTGTTTATAAAAATAAAAATTCATTATATTCTAATTTATTAAACAAAATTTATTTATTATTATTATATTTATTTTTAAAATTGAATTATAAATTGCATTGTTAATAAAATTTATTGCATAATATGAATGTATATTTTTTTTAAATTGTGAAATGAGCTATACAATAGAAATCAATAAGTGAATTCACACTTTAGCACTTAAACTGAAATTAGTAAAGTAATGGACTAAACGTAATAAAGTGATAGAGCATTTAAGCGGACAATTTGCTAGTTAAATAGCTCGCGAGAATAGTCGTCAGTCAGCTAGAGGAGATCGAGGAGATGCTCGATTAGAACCGGAAAGGAAAATTCTTCCTCTAAAAGGATTTAAAGGTCGAACATTCATTTCTCTCTTTGTGTGTATGTGTAATTGTTTAATTGTAATTTAAATCATTGCACAGTTTTTCCATTAAAATCTTCATTATAAAACAATTAAATTAAAACACTTGTTCATTATTTCATGATTATAAATATAAACTCACAATTTACTTAGACTTTTGAAATTGAATTGAAAAAACTGTATATAGGAACAAAAAAAGTAGATTTAGAGAAAAAAAAATTTTTTAGGGTCAGGTACATTTTTTATCAACCAGCATATTTATATTTTACACATTTTTACAAAGGGACAAATTACAACTATAATGTTCTTAAAAATAGTTTAAATTAGCTTGAAAATGGTTAATAAATAATTTTGTGAATGCGATTAGACGGACACGTAATTTTATTATTTGGCAAGTGTTTGATATCCGCGTGGAAATTCAACTAATTGATCCTTTGACTTTGGAGTTAAAGAATTAAAGTATGTGTAGAAACTTTTTCTTTTAAATTAGTTTTATAAATTTCATGTCTTATTATTTTTATAATTATAGATATAAAAAGTTATATTTATAGACAAATGAAAATTAGAAGAAACGATATTATAAATATAAACAGATATAATTTTGGAATTTTTTGGCAATGAACCACAATATTGTGATTTTTATAAACACATTTTCTCAAATAAATGTAAATAATTTAAATAAATTCAAGAAAAAAAGTTACATATAATATGAAATAGAATAATTTAAAAAATGAATTTTTCTTTATATATACTATGAATAAAATTCCAAATGAAAAAATAGTTATTAATTTTTTGAATATATTAGAAATTGAAAAATGTGTAAATTATTTTATACGATTATAATATAATTTTAAATAATTAAAAATATTTTTCAAATAAAAATAAAGTATTTTAAAAAAATAGTCCACTATTTTTTTTTCAAATTGACTTTCTTATTTTATTGTTATAATTACAAAAGAAATTACATTGCCAGTTGCAGTGAAATTACATTTTTATGTATGACTAATTTGAAATTCATGTCTCCTTTGTAATATAGAAATTTTTAAAATAAACATTTTTTAACTGTTTTAGTTTTTAACGGGACTTTTTATTTATAATAAAAGTAGTTTTACACTTTTAGGATAAATATTTTCTACCTTTCTAGAAAGTTCTACACAGTATGCTTTTAGAATTTTTATCGTGAATTTAAAAATTTTTTTTTTTTTTGGTAATATTTTGCTCGTTTGTATGAATTTTTTTTCATACTTTTCCTTTTTTTTCTTCTTTATTACAATTATTTTAAATTATTACAAGATAGTATACAGAGTGATTTTTATGTTCCGGACCATCTAAAAAAAAAATTTTTTTTTATTACCACATTTTTTGTTTAAAAAACGAAAAAAATATTTTTGGTAGACGGTATATATATATATATTTCGACAATGGTTCAATGGATGTGTATTTAAACTTGTAACTGTTTCCATAATTTGAAATACTACTATATGGTAGTGCGCGTTTATATGAAGTATATAGGGATAGTATATACAATGTACGGAAATTGAGAATACCTGATTCCGGATGTTACACACGCTACACAAACATTGAAGATTATTCTCCGCACCACGACGCAGTTTGATTCGCGAGAGATTTTATGATTCCTTCCTGTGTAAATGTCAAAAATTCGATTAATTCCGTGATTTACGTTTTAAACAATTGTTATACTATATATAACGAAACTATGGCTTTAAAAATATTACCTTTTCATTTATGATGAGAATGAAATAAATATTATAAAAAATTTAAATCAAGGTAATATTACATCTAATATTCGTAATATTACATTATAACATTAAGGTAATATTATACATGCTGCACTGAGAGATTTTTTACTTGATGAAAGAAAGTTAACGAGGCGGGAATCGAACTCTGAACTTGACTCATATCAGTCGGAAATCTTAACCAACAGACCAATTTGTACTTGTAGCATATTTAAGTTATTCACAAAATATATTAGTTTTCATATAACTTAGCGAAATCTTGTACAAAAT